ACCATGCTGAGAATGAATTCCGGGAAACTCTTGAAATGTTAATGAAGTCCAGAGAAAAGCCCTAGGCCCAAAGTCCATCCCAAAGAAATGTTAATAAACAGCCCCAGCAGATTTAAAGATAACCCATCCCAAAGAAGTGTTAATTCTTTGGCCCACCTGTGTCCCAAGCCTTCTGGCCTTCCCACCTACATTCCATCACCAAAAACTATAAAATGGAGAGACAACCACGCTTCCACAGATTCCATCTCTTGGGTCCCCTTCTTCCTCCAGGAGAAGTCTTTTCTGCTGTCCTTTAATAAACTTCTAATTTCTACTCTGACCTTGCCTCGGCGTGCTTCTCTGGTGTTATTCTTCAATAATGGGGAAGCAAGGACTCATCACCAGTCAACAGCGGTAACATTGAGATTAAGTAAATGGATGGTGAACTGTTAGAGCCAGGTATCTCATTATTCTAAAGGGAATTAGTAGACAAGCAAGGAGGTTTCAGTGTTCCACGAGGCAATGGATTCGAGTTGAAGAATCACTATGAACTCATATTTATTTTTAAATAGTTACATCTGGAAATATTTATAAATGTGCATATATACCAAGGTTATCATACACACACATATTTCATTACTCTTGAGATGACCTAGAAATCATGAGGTCCCAGAGGACACTTAGCACCCATATCTTGTTTTATAATACCATCATCTAATAAAAGCAATCTGGGCTCCTTAGAGTAATGGGTGATTCTAGGACTGGAGTAGGAAATATACAAAATGAGTTTGGAGAATGAAGTAGTGTCGAAAGTAAGAAAGTGCTCCAGAGCTGGAGTTGTGTAGCTCAATGGTAAAGCATTTGCCTATCATGTGTGAGGCACCTGGTTCGATCCTCAGCACCACATAAAACAACAAATAAATAAAATAAAGATATTGTGTCCATCTAAAACTAAAAATAAAAAGAGGGAAAGTACTCCAAACAACAACAATTAATAGCACCTATAGAGATGGGATTATGTCAAAGAGACACAGGAGCCTATTGAAAGAGCTCTCAATGGCCATAGCTGGGAACAGTTTGAACAAGAAAATTAATAAATATTGCATTATAACTTAATATAACCATTAGACACGAGAAAATGTTTGAGCAATACGTGTATTTTGTCAATTAAAAAATTTTAAGAACAGTCTTTGGGGGAAGACATTTGGAATATTTGAGGGAGAACAGATAAATGCACCTTACCGTAAGGGTAAAATTTCTAAGCTGATTCTAAGCTGCAAAGCCTGAGTTAAAGTGTAAAAGACCAGGCATTGTAAAGTTTCTAAACTACGGGGTCTGAGTTAACAAGTAAAAGACTAGGTATTGTTAAAATTCCTCTGCTACCCCCAGAACCTGTAATCCCTGTAGCTGTTAGAACAATACTGGAACTGCCCAGTAAAAATTTCCACTGATTYCCTGGTTGTTTAATAGCTAAGGGCTCTGAGTAGCTCGGCACGTAGGCATCCAGGCCCCAAAACCAATCAGTTTGAATGTGTACCCCGCTTAGGAGTGACCAATCACCCCTGCCCAGCCTGTTCCCATCAATGAATGTACTAATCATGTCTCAGAGTTGTTGTTCAATTTTTCTGAGCCTCATGATGATTTGTTCTGATGTATGCAAAGCCCCTCACCCTCTCCAAAAAGTGTATTTAAGCTCTGCTTGACCTCTGCTCTGGGCTCTGGGCTGCTCTATCTTCCTGAGTGAGCCTGGAACCTCAGCATGCTGAATTAATAAATCCCCTTTGCCAACTGCATGAAGTCAGTCTCTTGTGTGGTCTCTTCCTCCGACGCTCCGCCAGACCCTTACATTACAGAAAAACTACAAATAATTTATATAGATACTCTGCCCTCAAGAAAGAGAACATTAATCCCCATTCCTTCCTTAACTGTGGTTGTTCACACACTTACATAGAATGCAAATTCCTTCCAGAGAGTACAGGGGATGGGAGGCAGTAACTTTACAGTAAAGCAGTCTGACAAACACTACCTCTGCCAGGTGAGCAAGGTCAATATTTCCAGTATAAATCTTGTTGAGAATATGTACCCTTGATATGAAATGATACATAATAATTTACATCTGTGACTTTCCTCCCCAAAACCCATAACACTAATCCACTCATAAGAAAAACTCAGCAAAACCCAATAGAGGGCCAGGCATGGTGGAGACATGGTGGTTGAGGTAGCAGAATCATAAGTTTGAGGTCAACCTCAGTGATTTGGTATGGCCCTGAGCAACTAAGCAAGATCCTATCTCTACCCCGCCTTTCCTGTCCTTATTTTGTACTGGAGATTTATCCCCCAGGGGCACTTTACCACTGAGTTGAATCTCCAGCCCTTTTTCTTTTCTTTCTTTCTTTCTTTCTTTCTTTCTTTCTTTCTTTCTTTCTTTCTTTCTTTCTTTCTTTCTTTCTTTTTTTTTTTTTAATTTTGAGACAGGTTTTTCACTGGGTTGCCTAGAGTCTCACTAAGTTCCTGAGGCTGGCCTCCAACTTGCCATCCTCCTCCCTCAGTCTCCCAAGGCACTGGGATTATAGGCATACCATACTGCCTGTGGCACGAGAACCTGTTTCATAACAAAAAATAAAAAGAGCTGGGGATATAGCTTAATGATAAGGCACCCTGAGTTCCATCTCTAGTACCCAAAACAACAATAAAAAAAAAAAAACCACCACCATCGCCACCACAACAAAAATGATAGAAAGTATAAGTTAAAAAAAAAAGCATTGTAACAAAAGTAAAGCCTTCAAAATATATTGAATTCTTTTCAACCTAGAATTCAATATCCAATCAAGTAAAACCTAAAATCTGATTTCTGAGGAATATCTAATCAAGCATGATGATAGAATAAAGGCATGTGAGAATATATTTTAAGACATGCAAGGGCTGAAAAATGTTGCCTCATATTTACCCTTTCATAGGATGCTGTTGGAGAATTAACCATAATCCAGGAAAATAGAACCCAACAGAGACAAATGTGAAAAAGAGATTTAGACCAGAGTTGGATAAAGGACCATAGGAGGGAATTCTCTGTATTAGTTTTCTCTGACTGCCATAACAAAGTAGCACAAACTAGGTAGCTTAAAACAACAGCTATTTATTCCCTCAGTCCTAGAAGCTAGAAGTTGAAATCAAAGTGTGCATGGCTTGCACACCTGTAATTTCATTTGAGGCAGCTGAAGCAGGAGGGTCTCAAGTTTGAGGCCAGCCTCAGCAACTTAGACTCTGTCTCAAAATAAAAAGGGCTAGGGATGTAACTTAGTGGTAAAGCACCCCTAGGTTCAATCCCCAGTACTAAAAAATTAAAGATTAAAAAAAAAAAAACCCAGACACCAGTCATAATTTCATCAAGGTTTAATTGACTCATATAAACTGCACATGTTCAGAGCATACAATTTATGTGTGTATATGGTATTGGGGATTGAACTCAAGGCCTCATGCAAGAGCATACAATTAAGTTTGGACATATGTATGTACTCATGAAACCTTCATGACAATCAAGACAATGAACATACCCATCATGTGCAAGTTTCCTAGTATCCCTCCATAATCGCTCCCAACTGCTCCTCCTTGCCCCTTCCCAGCAACCTCTAATCCAATATAGTAATATTTTTCCCATTTCACACATGAGAAAACTGAAATACATGGTGGCTCACTAAACTGCCCAAAGTCATACAGCTTAGTCAGGGGTAGCACTTGGGTTTTAGTTCAAGTTGTAATATTGGCCCTAAAATCCCATCTTGGGAAAAGTCTCTTGTCTTCAAAATGCACCGTCAGCATATCCATCCCCTGGGCATACAGTTTTTTCTTAAAGGCCTATGAAAATGTTTTGAGACCTATAGAAAAAGTTTCCAAAATATGGAAACCTATCAACCAACCAAACAAGCTGCTGAAATTAAAAACCATTCATTTGAATGATTACAAAACTTAATGTTATGCCAACAAGTCACCTTTAACTCATTTCTTTGGTATTCAGAGTTCTAGATTCAGGGGCTGGGGCTGTAGCTCTTAAGCTCAAAGTGTATGTAGCACACACCAACCCTGGGTTCCACCCACAGCACCAAAGGAAAAAATAACTAAGTTCTAAAGCCAGAGTGTTTAGGTTAGAATGCCATTTTGCCACTTATTATCTATTAACTGGGGACAAGGAACTTCAGCCCCAGGGTTACTCCTCTGTAAAGCAGGACAGTAATATTCACCTCACGGGGTTGGGAGAATTGAACACGTTAATATTTGTGAAGCATTTAAAACAATTCTCACACAGAATAAGTGTTCAATAAATGTTAACTGTAAAAGCCAGGCATGATGAGACACACCTGAATCCCAGATTGTCCAGAGGCTGAGGCAGGAGGAGTCCAAGTTTGAGGTCAGCAATACAGCTCAGTGTTAGAGCACTTGCCTAGCATGTCAGAGGCGCTGGGTTTGGTCCTCAGCACCACAATCAATAATCAATCAACCCATAAAAATAACATCAAAATGAAAACTGATTGGCAGCGCACGCCTGTAATCCTAGCAGCTGAGGAGGCTGAGGCAGGAGGATCCTGAGTTCCAGGTCAGTCTCATCAACTTAGGGAGACCCGGTCCCAAAATAAAAATGACTGGGGCTGTGGCTCAGTGGTTAAGTGCCCCTGGGTTCAATCCCCATTACAAAAAAAAAAAAAAAAAAAAAAAAAAAAARRRARAGGRAGRRGAAGGAGAAGGAGAAGGAGAAGGAGAAGGAGAAGGAGAAGGAGAAGGAGAAGGAGAAGGAGAAGGAGAAGGAGAAGGAGAAGGAGAAGGAGAAGGAGAAGGAGAAGGAGAAGGAGAAGGAGAAGGAGAAGGAGAAGGAGAAGGAGAAGAAAGTAAAAGCTTTTGGGTGAGGGGGAACTCAGGAAGCCTGCTGGGTCCTTCCCGGAAAAACGCCTTCTTTTTCGGGCCAGCTTCCAGGCTGCGGGGCCAGGGAAACCAGCGGAACGCAGGTGTGCGAGGGCGGGGAGCCGGTCGAGCCTGGCCACCGAGGACTGTACGGCCGCGGGGGATCGGTTTGGCGGCGACACTGAATTGCTCGGAGGCCGCCGCAATGCTCCCGTCTTTGCAGGAATCGCTGGATGGGGATGAAAAGGAGCTAGAGAGCAGCGAGGAGGGCGGCTCTGCAGAGGAGCGGAAACTCGAGCCGCCGCCCAGCAGCCACTACTGTCTCTACAGCTACCGCGGAAGCAGGTGCCCGCGCCTGGCCTGGCCTGCCCGGCCGCCCCTGCGGTCCCCCTAATCCCCGGGCCCGCTGCCCGGCTTTACACCCTTTCCCGGCCCTGGCGGCCTGGCAGTTCCCAAACGCCATCTTCTCCTCTCCCAGCCACGGTCTCTGGCCCGAAGGGCCCTCCAGCTCTCACTCCGTTCTTCCTGGCTACTAGCCTGGACTTCTCTGCCAGGCCTTCCCTAGCTCCTGCTCTCCTACTGACCCTGTGTCATCTCAGCCCGGCTTCTCGCCCCGGCCGTTTATTTAGGACAGTTCCTGCATGCTTAGTAATTTCAATCCCCATCCCCTGTCCTCTGGTCACTATCTCCCCAGTTTTCCCCGTTTTTGACACCCCCCCACACCCCGGTTTCTTTGTCCTTGCTGCATCTTTTCTGTCCTCCTGGCTGATGTTCCAGGGGCTCTCTTGGCCCTGCTAATTCTGGTGGTGGTTGTTTTAAAGAGGCGCTTCTTTAATTTATTAGGCCTCTCCTCCACCCCTAAGGTAGCCTGGCAAGAGAAAGGCGCTTGTCAGCCCTGTTATGGGTTTTCCCTGTCTTGCAGCAAAGCAATAGAGGACCCATACACTTTAACCTTGCAGTTTTTTACGTGACTCCTTGCACTATCCTGCTTGCAAGGACTCCATCTGATTTGGAGCCCATAATTGATAGCAAAATTGTTGCTTTTTTGGCTTGCAGATTGGCACAGCAACGTGGGGACAGTGATGATGGAAGCCCAAGTGGCACAAATTTGGAAACTCCCTCTGGTGATGATTTCAGGTAAAACCAGCTTACCCACACCCCCTAATGTGTTTTATCTTCTGTGCATCTCTGGCCTGTAGATGTCAGTAGGTACACTATTTCCACTGAACTTCCTAAGAGTCAAACCATCAATTCTTCCTATTCCTTAGGAACCTCTCTCTCATTGGGGCATTCACTAGAGGCTGGGGCAAATCCAAATACTGATAGTGCCTCTGTGATTAACCAAAAAGAATTATTCTGTTCTTTGGTTAGAACTCCAGTAAAATTTTCAATATCAGATTGATATCAAGATTTGAATTTAAGGAGCTGTAGTTGCAGCTCAGTGGTAGAGCACTTGCCTAGTATGTGTGAGGCACTGGGTTCCATCCTAGGCATCACATAAAAATAAAAAAAATAAAGGTATTAAAAATACAATAACATGTTAGGAAATATGTTATATTTTATATAAAATATATAAAAGAAAAATTTTAAAAGATTTGAATTTAAACCCTCTCCTCCTCCCTTTGAATATTCTTTTTTTAAAAAATATTCTTTTACTTGTCAGTGTACCTTTATTTTATTTATTTATGTGTGGTGCTGTGAATTGAACCCAGTGCCTCATACACACCTCATAAGCACTCTACCACTGAGCCACAACCCCATCCCTTGATATTCTTTAGTAGCTCCTCTACCATACACTAGAATGGAAATTCCAGGACATTAGAGATTATCTCATTTTTGTCTCCCTGTCTTGTCCCTTTAGTAGTACCTGGCACAGGGTAGATGTTTAATACATTGTTATTAAGTGCATGAATGAATGCACCTTTTTTAATAAAGCACATGTAAAATTAAAGATTTATTAATAAATTTTATATCTGTAAATGTATGAGAAACTACGGTGTAATAGTCATAATCATATTTAACCATTTTCCTTTTTAAAAAATATATTTATTTATTTTACAGTAGAATGTTTTTTGTTGTTGTTGTTTTTGTCATTTTTGATACTGGGGATTGAACTCGGGGGTACTCAAAACTTTAAAAAACTGCTTAAAACTTAAAACTGCTGAGCCACCTCCCTAGCTCAATTTTGTATATTATTTAGACACAGGGCATCACTGAGTTGCTTAATGCCTCACTTTTGCTGAGGCTGGCTTTGAACTCGTGATTTACCTGTCTCAGCCTCACAAGCTGCTGGGATTACAGGTGTATACCACTGCACCCAGTAGTAGAATATATTTTGACATGTTGTACGTGAATGAATTCACATTGACAATGCAAAATTAGATGCAGTACAAAAATATTGAAAAATGGATGATTTAAGGAGTTTTTCAGGTGTCATAATAGTATATATGTAGATATTTTTAAAGTCCAGGGGCTGGCATGTACTCGGTGGTAGAGCACTTGCCTAGCACTCATGAGGCCCTGGGTTTGCTCCCCTACACCACAAACAAAACAAAGCAAAACAATCTTCATCTTTTAGGGCTGGGGTTGTGGCTCAGTGGTAGAGTGCTTGCCTCACATTGAGGCACTGAGTTCTATCCTCAGTACCACATAAATGTAAAACAAAGATATTGTGTCCACTTAAAACTAAAAAATAAATGTTTAAAAAAATCTTCATCTTTTAGAAATACATAGTGAGAAATTAATGCATGAAATCATTTCTGGGACATTGCTGCAAAATTTTCTGGGATGGGGGGAATAATATGTGTGTAAAGATGAAATAAGATGACCATGAGCTGATAACTGTTGAAACTGGATCATGGGAACATGAGAACTTACTGTTCTCTCTACTTTTTTTTTAAGTTTTTTTTTTTAATATTTATTTATTTTTTAGAAGTAGTTGGACACAATACCTTTATTTTGTTTATTTATTTTTATGTGGTGCTAAGGATCGAACCCAGGGCCTCGCACATGCCAGACCATCGCTCATTGAAGGAGAATGTGCACCGTACTCAATTTTTAAAATACTTTTTTAGTTGTAGATGGACACAATACCTTGATTTCATTTATTTATTTTTATGTGGTGCTGAGGATTGAACCCAGTGCCTTACAAGTGCTAGGCAAGCGCTCTACCATTGAGCTACAAACACAGCCTAGTACTCAATTTTTATATATCAATTATACCTCAGTAACGTTGAAAGGAAGAAAAAGAAGAATGTGTGCAGGGATGTGATTATAATGACTGACCAGCAAACTTAAGCTAATTAAGGAGAAAGTAAGTGAGGAGAGGAGAAACTTGAGGGACTGTCAAAAGAGAATCAGTGGTATGAGATAGAGCGCTTGCCTTACATATGTGAGGCGCTGAGTTCTATCCTCAGCACCACATAAAAATAAAGATTAAAAAAAATGAAAATGCGTAAATCCTTCAAAAAATAAAAAGAGAATCAGTGGGCTCAAGATTCCAGTGGAAGCCAGGTCCAGTGGTACACGCCTGTAATCCCAGCGGCTCAGGAGGCTGAGGCAGGAAGATCACAAATTGAAAGCCAGCCTCAGCAACAGCGAGGCCCTAAGCAACTCAATGAGACCCTGTCTCTAAATAAAATACAAAATAGGGCTGGGGATGTAGCTCAGTGTTTGAGTGCCCCTGAGATCTATCTGGTGACCCCTCCCCTCAAAAAACAGATTCCAGTGGAGTGTCAGGAGTGGTGGCACACACCTGTAATTCCAGTTACTCAGAAGGCTGAGACAGGAAGATCACAAGTTCCAGGCCAGCCTCAGCAACTTAGTGAGACCCTTTCTCAAAGTAAAAAAAATTAAAAAGGGCTGGGGATGTATAGTCCAGTGGCAAGTGCCCCTAGTTAAGTCCCTAGTACCGAAGGAAAAAAAAAAAAAAGATTCCAGCAGAGTGCCAGTACTGCAGAATTGAATGAGCTGGAGAGAGTAATATTTTAAACTGTTTGATAATAAGTCACACTTGGTGACATACATTCCTAGAGGTCACATTGTTGTTGTTCAGCTTTCAATCACTGACAAAATAGCTGAAATAATCAACTGAAGGAGGAAAGATTCATTTTGGCTCATGATCTCAGAGGTTTCAGCCCATTGCCTTTGAGTCTCTGGCACTACATCATGGCAGGAGCACATGGTAGAGAGGCCTGTTCACCTAGTGGCTGCTAGGAAGCAAGAGGCGAGCGGGGAGGAGGCCAGGATCCTAATATCCCCATCATGGGCATGCCCCCAGGGAATGCCCCCAGTAACCTAATTTTCTCCAACAAAGCCCCACCTCTTAAAGGTTCTACTATCTTCCAGTAGCACCAAACTGTTAGCATATGGGCCTTTGGGGCACATTCTAAATCCAGACTATAGCAGTAGCCAGTGGATTAGGTAGGTAGCCTTCTTAGGTCCTTAAGGGAGATCCTGGCTTTGGTATCATACTTTCTGACTCACAAGTGTGAATGCCCTAGTCCCCTGGTAAGGAATGTGTGTCTTTCATTTGTTAAGCCTCTCCTTGGTGGATACTAATTTACCATCTGAAGTGGAGCCAGAGCTGCGGAGTTTCATTGCTAAGCGTCTTTCGAAAGGAGCCATCTTTGAAGGGCTGGGTAATGTTGCATCTGTAGAGCTGAGGTAAGTATAAAATGTGCTGTGTTCTGAGTTTTTGTTTCCGAGCTAAATATGAGAAGTAATGAGAAACTCTAAAATTTCTCCTACTAGAACTGCCCGGTGTATTGTTGTTTTCCGAGAGCCCACGTGCTGGGATTCACACGTAAACATTTATGGAATGGGGTTAATTGAACATGGAGACACTGGCACCTACATGTACTTTTTGTAGTTTTGTACTTAGAAGAGTTAATTACTAAAACCAAAATTGTGTATTTTACAGTTATAAAGTGTTTTCCCAAACTTTGGAACAATTCTCCTTACAAAGAGGAGATATAGCACTACTTTTTTTTTTTTTTTAAAGAGAGAGAGAGAGAGAGAAAGAGAGAGAGAATTTTTATTTATTTATTTATTTTTAAAGAAAGAGAGAGAGAATTTTAATATTTATTTTTTAATTTTCGGCAGATACAACATCTTTCTTTGTATGTGGTGCTGAGGATTAAACCTGGGCCGCACGCATGCCAGGCGAGTGCGCTACCGCTTGAGCCACATCCCCAGCCCAATATAGCACTACTTTTGTTTGCATTTTCAAATGAGAAAATAAACTCAGAGAAGTTAAATGGGATGCCTGAGGTTACAGGACTGGTTACCTTGTTGGAGTTCACGTTTAAACATAGGCATTCTCAGTTCAATTCTAGTTGTCTTTCCATTACACTTCTTGATTATGGTTCGCTTTAGATCATGAAGTTGACACGCAAGAGTTTGAAGCCATGGCCCAAGCATGAGGCTATGGGATAAACCTGGAACCTGTGCCTGGAGCTTAGTGATTTGTGAAGGTTTGAGGAAGAAGAGGAATGTGCTTATTTTCTTTTCTTTTTTTTTTTTTTTTAATTCTTTTTAGACGTACATGACTATAGAGGGTATTTTGACATATTATACATACTTGGAGTATCACTTCCCATTCTTGTGGTTGTACATGATGTGGAATTACACTGGTATTCATATATGAACACAGGAAAGTTATGTCCAATTCATTCTACTGTCTTTCCTATTCCTGTCCCCCTCCCTTCCCTTCATTCCCCTTGGTCTAATCCAAAGTACTTCTATTCTTCCCTTGCCCCCTTGCCCCCATTGTGTGTTAGAATCCACATATCAGAGAGTACATTCAGCCTTTCGTTTTTTGAGATTGGCTTATTTCTCTTAGCACAATAGTCTCCAGTTCCATCCATTTACCAGCAAATGCCATAATTTCAAGGAATATGTTTATATTCATGTAAATATGTGTATACCTTGAACAAGAGTGAAATTTGCACACAACCCAGGAGAATTCAAAGAAAAGTTTGTCTGTGTTAGGGACTGCTTTCACCAAAGCCCATCTGGGGTGTACAATCATGTTCCCTCTGCTGTTAAGAGTAAACTGATAAGTCTAGGAAGCCCTGGAGAAGTGGGCAGTCTAAAGGTGTTGCTAGATGAAGCTGCAGAGCAGGGCTGGGGTTGTGGCTCAGCAGTAGAGCGCTTGCCTAGCACATGCGAGGCACTGGGTTTGATCCTCAGCACCACATTAAAATAAATAAAGATATTGTGTCCAATTACAACTAAAAAAAAACTATTAAAAATAAATAAATAAAGATGCAGCCCAGTCCACAGAATAAGATGCCTGAGTTATCAAAATATTACATTTTACTCTTTTCTTTTTCAGAATTCCAGGTTATCGAGTTGGTTGTTATTATTGTCTTTTCCAACAAGGAAAACTGCTTCCTGAAACAGCAACAGTGGTCTCTGAATATAACCCTACAGAGTATGTGGTCTGTTTTTTAGGAGGTTCTGAAAAAGGCCTTGAGCTATATCCTTTCTTTGGTCTAAGGGAATCAGGAAGGAGAATGTGGGAGGCAAGTGGAGGAGTTATCTACTACCCTCCCCAAGCTTCTCTGCCTTTATGTATGTGCTTGAATTTCATACTTCCTGTGGCCATTTGCCTTGGCTTGTTCTAATTTACAGTTTACGTTATTTGAGCAATCTCACATTTCCTGTGTGAGATAAGACATTGTCTTGATTATTCATTCTTTATTACTTCCTTAAGAACATACTTTCAGGCTTGAACTGGACAAGTACATTCAAGGGCTAAAAAATAACATGAACTGTGAGGTAAGATGATAGATTTAAAAATTTTGTAAGACTGAAATGATTAACCAACCATGGCTTTTGTACTTGTCAAGTCATATAGGAAGATAGAAATGACACCTGAATTCTAAAAACTTGACCTTGTAGGCTAGTAGACTGGTGATTTTTAAGGAAAGGAGGGAACATAGTCCTATAATTGTTGAAAGTTTCACAAGACTGCTTGCGATGAATTACTCCTATGAAGATTTCTACCTGTTAAATTCAACAGCATGTCTGGAGAGGAAGAGGATACCCCTTTACTGATTTCTAAGCACATAAGATTTATATTCTGGTCAGAACTAATTGTCCGTGCAGCCTTTGGCACCAGAGACATGCTGCGCAATAGTATAGCTGTCCTTGGACTTAACATCAAAGATTTTTAGAAATATTGCATTTTTATTCATCAGTCCTTTATGAATTAGATATCTCCAAATTGACTAATTTATCCAAACCTTTTTAGAAGCTATGCTTTCAACTTGCAGCAGTTGTTGAAGTTATGACTCAAAAATTTATCACCCATTATCCATAGCAATAGTTCCTGTTACTTGTCATGTACTTCTATGATACTGCAAGAGGAAAGGAAGGATCCGTTTAGGGGTGAGCCAGGGATTCAAGTCTGGGGATGTTGCTTTCCCAGACTGAAGCTTCTTCCTATGTGACACTAGTCTTGAGAAAGCAGCACAGCCGAAAGCCAGATGTGTTCATGGTGGCATGTCTGACACAACAAGTGGGCTTTGAGTGTTTTGATGGGTTGTTGTTTCTTTTTAACTTTTTCCTTTTTTTTTTTTTTTTGATACTAAGGAATGAACCCAGGGCTGCTTATCCACTGAGCCACATCCCAAGCCCTTTTTTTATATTTTATTAGAGACAGTGTCTCACTAAGTTGCTAAGGCTGCTTTGAGCTCACCATTCTCCCATCTCAGCCTCCAAGCTACAGGAGTGCACCACCACACCCGGCTTCTTTTTCTTAACTTTTTGAGTACAACTGAATTATCTATTTACATTCCTTTAGTCAGTAGTCAATAAGTCTTGCTATGCATGTTCCAGACACTATGCCAGGTGCTGGGGCAATGAGGATTATTAAGAAAGAACTTCCAGTGTAGTAGGGAGGGATAGCCATGTGAATGCCCAACTCCTCCCAGTGAGGAATAGCATAGAACTCTACTAATTCAAATTCCCAGGAAAGCTATATCACGATTCCTTTTTTTAAACTGGTAGTATTAGCTTTAAAAAAAAAAAAGGAGGTGTCTGTTCCAGTTTTCACTGTCGAAAGAGTACAGTGAAGAAAATGTTTTGAGTCCACTAACAGGAAGGCTTATGCGGTATTAAAGCAAATAATTTCTCTCTTGATCTAGGAAGGGGGCCTGGAAAACCATACCAAGGCTTATCTGAACAGCTGGTTTGAGGATGTTGTTTGCCCAATCCAAAGGGTTGTTCTTCTTTTTCAGGAGAAACTTACTTTTCTGCTACATGCGGTATGTATTGCCCAAACAAGAGCATTTCCTTAATCAAGAATCACTTTGGCAGAGTTTTTAATTTTTTGAGATATGGGGAGTGAATCCAGGGCCTTATGCTTGCCAGGCAAGTGCTGCACCACTGAGCTAACCCCAACCCTTTTTTTTGTTTTTGTTTTTAAGATAAGGTCTCTAAATTGTCCAGGCCAGCCATGAAGTTGCAATTCTCTTGCCTCAGACTCCCAAGTATCTGATATTACAAGTGTGCACCATCCTGGCTAGAGTTTGGGTTATCTGGAGACAAATCACTTTCTGTGAATATTTCTTTTTCCCCTGAATATTCATTTAAACTATGCTTGCTGTCAGGATAGAGCACACTTAATTTATTCAGATCTAGAAGATTATATTACAAAGGTAAAATTGAATTGCAAATGCCTACTGAGTCTTCCTAATAGGATAAAACATTTTTAAATAATTACTTTTTGAACTGATCTAAGAGAGGTAATTTCCAAAACATTTTGAAAAGGAAAACAAAATTCTAAAGTGATTTTAACTATACAAAAATATTAGCAAGGAGCTGCTAAACTAGCTGCTAAACCATCTCTCTCTGGAGAGCTTGTGGGCTATGCCCATCAGTCATTGTCTAGTAAGGTGGTTACTGGGAATGGTAACATTTAGTCATGAGTGGCTGCTCAATAAGGGAAACTGGAAGACATATCAATCAGGCTTTATTTTTCTCTCATAGGCTTTGAGTTATACTCCTGTTGAGGTTAAAGAATCAGATGAAAAAACAAAGAGAGACATTAACAGGTAAAGAACATAGTTTTTGCAAAGAGAGAATCTTTTCCACAGCAAGCCTGACTTATACATTTTTAAACCCTCCCCCTTCCAGTGCAGAATGATTTAGTTTTCTCCCTCCCATAGTCCAATACTGTTTGTGAAAAAAGTCTGTGTGTTTGGCAGGTTTCTGAGTGTGGCCAGTCTTCAGGGACTAATTCATGAAGGCACCATGACATCTTTGTGCATGGCCATGACAGAAGAGCAGCATAAGTCTGTAGTCATCGATTGCAGTGGCTCCCAGCCTCAGTTCTCCAATGCAGGTGAGCCATAAACTCTGGACCTCTTGTGAGGTCCTCTTTTTGCATTGAGAATAAAGGATACAAACATCCTTCTTGCCTTGTACAATTTTTCATGGCTATCCCAAACTTGCTGAAAACAATAATAATTCTAGAAACATGGAAATTAAGTCATGCCTAGAAATTCCATTCTTAGATATACAGAGAAACTCATATATGTGCACAAGAAGATGAATACAAAAATATTCATGAAAACATTATTTAAAATTATAACAAATTGGAAATCAACGTGTACAGCAAGAATTTGATACACTGGTATTGCATGTTATGGGACATTATAGAGCAGTTGAAAATGAATGCACCAGAGATGACATATGTTAGTATAGCTCTCAAACATATTATTCAGTGGAAAAACCATTAAAAAAATACATAAAGGACTGGGCATGGTGGCACATGCCTGTAATCCCAGCAACTCATGAGGCTGAGGCAGGAGGATCATAAGTTCAAGACCGGCCTTAGCAAATTAGAGTGGGCTTAAGCAACTTAGAGAGACCGTGTTTCAAAAAATAAAAAGGGCTGGGGATGTGACTCAGTGGTCAAATGCCCATGGGTTCAGGTTCAATCCCTGGTACCCCCCCCCCAAAAAAAAAAGGTTTTAACATATGCAAAATAATAACTTGGAGATACAAAGGGATATAGCAAAAGTTTTAGAGAAATATATGGGAATCATAATCCTTTCTGATGGGAAAGAAGGGGATATGATTGAGACATACTTGAAGGTGGGGGTGCTTTAGCCCTCTTCATATTTCTTAGCCATATGGGGAGCACACTATTTTTTAGATCACTATAAAAGTCATTACAAATAAATATGATAATAAATTTAATATTTGAAAAGTTCAGTATAAATGTTGTTATAAAGAAATAACTGTCTTGGGGCTATGGTTGTGGCTCAGTGGTAGAGGTCACCTAACATGTGCAAGGCCCTGGGTTCAATCCTCAGCACCACATAAAAATAAAATAAAGATATTGTGTCCAGCTACAACTAAAAGAAATAAAAAAAGGGGGGGRAAAAGAAATAACTGTCTTGTAGGATAGCGTTTTTATTTATTTAATTTCTCTAAATATTTTGTAGGAAGCAACCGGTTTTGCGAGGATTGGATGCAGGCTTTCTTAAATGGTGCTGAAGGGGGTAACCCTTTTCTTTTCCGACAAGTACTGGAGAACTTTAAATTAAAGGTAATTAATTGACTGTGTGCCAAGGGCCACATACAGTTTTTTGTCTGCATTTTAATTAGTACCCGTGATAGAATAATAAATCTGTTTTGCAGTTGTGATGTCTATTAAACAAGATGTTCTTAAAACGAATCTTCAGAAGGCTTTTAATTTTTCAGTAGCTTCTGCATACATATAATTTCATCACTTCCAATAAATTGGGTTGAAAGCTTGCTTTTATTTAAGGAAGCTTACTGATGTATTTTAGTTGCAAAGCACACACACAAAAAAAAGTGGTTCAAAATTCTGATGGGAGTGTTGTCACCTTATTTAGGAGATTTTTAAGTATTTTTACTTACATATGAGATTTTGCTCTGCCAAGGGTAAAGCATATTAACAATAAAGGTGATAGAAATGTTTAAGATGAAAAGCAAACAATTTAGAACATATATTGAGTTCTCAGCTGGATAGGAGATATTTTTCAAGCTTCATTATTATCCCACTACACACATACTTAACTAGGTAATCTTTTTCTAGGCCATACAAGACACAAACAATTTGAAGAGATTTATCCGACAGGCAGAAATGAATCATTATGCTTTGTTTAAATGTTACATGTTCCTAAAGAACTGTGGTAGTGGAGATATCCTTTTGAAGATTGTTAAAGTGGAACACGAAGAAATGCCTGAAGCCAAAAATGTGGTAGCTGTCCTTGAAGAATTCATGAAAGAAGCTCTTGCCCAAGGTTTTTGATCATGTTTGAGACAACTACTTCGTGAAGTTGTATATTCAAGCCTTGGCATTTGAAATTGCAGTTGTTAATAATTGTTCATAGGATTACTGTTTAGGATTATTTGAATTATACCAGATTGTTTTTTCTTTTTGTATTTAAAAATTTTAACTTAATTAAACATAAAAATCTGAGGAATATCTTCATTGAGTCCTACATCGATATGTGTGTTAGAATTGTGGAATTTTGGCCTATTGTTGCTCCCATAAATTCTAAACTTCAAAAGTGTGTTGCCTAAGTGGACATGGTGATGATGCACACCTGTAATCCCAGTGGCTGGGGAGTCTAAGGTAGAAGGATCACTAAGTTCAAAGCCAGCCTCAGTCACTTAGTGAGGGCCCTAAGCAACATAGCAAGACTGTCTCTAAATTAAATATAAAAAGGGCTGGGGATATGGCACAATGGTTAAGCATCTCTGGGTTCAATCCCTGTTATCAAAAATAAATAAATAATAATAAAATGTATTGCCTCAGAAACTTCAGAGATGATTTTGTGGCTTCTCTCAAAAGTTTGCTAGTGTATTTACAATTTTTCTTCTCAGAAAAAAACTCATAGCACTTTTTTTCTCAATAGATTGTAGCTTCTTTTTTAAACACGTAATTTCAGTCACAGAAAGATTAGTACCACTACACCATTTCATAGATTTGTGCATCCTGCATGCTGCAGGTACCTGATACACTTTTTTTTTTTTTTGGTCTGATTAATAGTTGGCTTGGATGATGAAGCCAGCTTTTAAGTCAATATGCAAATAAATCATAAGTGTATAAGAAATTACATAAGCTTCAAAAATAGATGCACTAGCTGCAAGATAAAACGTTAGCTCTGATGGAAAGCTGCTGCAGAACTGGTGCCCGCCCGCCACCACTTTTCTTCATTAATTTGTCCACAGATAGTTGCCAGTATTTTTTTTCTTTTAGATGAAAAATGCCAGAGTTTTTAAATAGAGTGTGAAGAAATAAAGTACATAAGTTTTACAAACAAACTGTAAGATAAGGAATGCAAACAGAGATTCTTCCTATCAGAGTTACTCATTGATTTTAGTTTTTGTATATTTATTACAAACCTCAGATTGTTTTACTCTGAATCAATTCACAGTGCCCTCGGCTAGCCATTTATAATTCCCATGGAAGCCAAGGGTAGTTACACACATATTTGTTCTGCATAGCTCTTTAATAAATTCATTTGATAATGATTTTTGTTTAGAAGATGAGAAGTCTTATGTTCTCACTGCCTTCAGGACGTTCAGAGGAACACAAGCCTGTAAAACTAAGCAACTCGTAAATGGCTGTAAATTCATGTTAAGTGCTGAGTTTTAACTTTCAAAATGACCGACAATGGCCTTCTGCTTTCTCCTCTACAGAAGTAAGTCTAGGAACATGACTCACCAAGCCCTTACTTTTTGTTTAACGAGAAATACAATTCAGGGGGCTGGGGATGTGGCTCAAGCGGTAGTGCGCTCGCCTGGCATGCGCAAGGTCCTGGGTTCGATCCTCAGCACCACATACAAATAAAATAAAGATTTGTGTCCACCGAAAACTAAAAACTAAATAAATAATTAAAAAAAAAAAAAGAAATACAATTCAGGATCTTCATAAATGCTTTCATATGGTTTTAAAGTTTAATACCAGATTATAGGCAGTATGGAAAAAAAATATGAGCAGCATTTTTAAAAAAATATTTATTTTTTAGGTGTAGATGGACACAACACAATGCCTTTATTTTTATGTGGTGCTGAGGATCGAACCCCGGTCCCGCCTGTGCTAGGCGAGCGCTCTACCACTGAGCCACAATCCCAGCCCCTAAGTAGCATTTTTTATAAAAGTATTCAGGATGACTATGGAAGATCTGCAATTTTATGACACTATCTTAGAATCTCTAGAATCTTTTTTTTTGTTTTGTTTTGTTTTCTTTTTCTAATGCACTTGGTTGTCCATTTGGAAGTTAGGTTTTTAAATAAACAACATGTTGAGTCTGGAAAATATAGTTTTAATTTTCAAATTCATATGCCATTCAAGAGTCCATGTTGTAAATGGCTGTTAAAAGCAAATGCTTGGCACAGTGGTGCATGTTTTAATCTCAGTGACTTGGGGAGACTGAGGCAGGAGGATCACAAGTTCAAGGCCAGCCTGGGCAACTTAGCAAAACCATAGGGTCTCAAAGGGCTGAGGATTATAGCCCAGTAGAAAAGTATCCCTGGATTCAATCCCTAGTACTACAACAGTAAAATAAGCAAATGTATTACAGATATAGGCAAGGTATAACCATATCATCTGTTTGTATATATACACTCACTATATATTACAGTTGTAGACAGTAGTCATATTTTTAAGTCTGACATTCTGTGTCACTATTATAGACAGAATGATGTTATGAAATTGGATACTGTGTTGATCATGAAAAGAAACTCAGAGCTCATGACAAGAAATGAGTATTTGTATCCAAATTTAAATAAGCTAATGTATTAATGTTTAAAGTTGTACAGAGTGCCAGGTGTGGTAGCACAAACCTATAATCCCGGCTACTGAGGCTGAAGGAGGGGGATTGCAATTTTGAAACCAGCCTGGGAAATTAGTGAGACCCTGTTTCAAAATTAAAAAATAAAAAGGGCTGGGATGTAGCTCAGTAGTAAAGTGCTCCTGAGTTCAATCCACAGTACCCCCCCCCAAAAAAAAGTAATAAAGTTGTAAAAAGTATTTGTTCAGACAGGAATAAATTTATGTATTATTTATGTGGTATACACACAGATAAAATGTATGTTTATCATGTACTCAAAATGGTCTGTTTATCTGTAATTATATTTGTAATAAAACTTAGCTTCTAATCAAGACAGCCATTTTTACTTCATGAGCTCAATTCTCAGGCCTTACCCTTGCATTAATTCCCAGAAAGTTTGTGGGGAACTTGTTATACTAAGAATGTGTTGGAGAAAATCAAATCATCTGCTGAGATACACCTTTCTGCATCCTGCCCCAGGAAGTGTAAGAGCAATTTTTATCACAATATTTTATTCACTGTCCAGTAAAGTTATATCTGTAGAATACAATAGCCCAAGTCATGTCCTCTCACTCTTATTATTTTTAAAATATGTTTTTAGTGGGCTGGGGATGTGGCTCAAGCGGTAGCGCGCTCGCCTGGCATACGTGCGGCCCAGGTTCGATCCTCAGCACCACATACCAACAAAGATGTTATGTCCGCCGAAAACTAAAAAATAAATAAATATTTAAAAAATTAAAAAAAAAATAAAATGTTTTTAGTTGTAGTTGGGACACGATACCTTTATTTTATTGATTGTTATACGTTGCCGAGGATCAAACTCAGGGCTTTGAATGTGCTAGGCGAGCGTTCTACCGCCTAGCCGCAACCGCAGCCCTCACTCTTACTATTAACTGTGACAATGCCTGTCCTTTACCAGAGGATCACTTATAGCAGATGCTAGGCAAGACTTCTCAGAAATGAGATTCAGTCTCTGGGACCAAGTTGTCCTAACCATGTGCTTTCTCATGGCTTCAATGCATTCTTCTACTTGGTGGTCTCAGAGGGCAGCTGCGTTCTCTAACTGGTGAAGTTCCTAACTGCCTCAGAGACTTTGAATCGTGGACAGATTGCTGAAGTGGCATAAATGCCAAGATTCTGGAAATCAGGGTTGATGGAGAGCAGTAATGGATCGACAGCTGTGGGGTTTCTTGTGAGCTACTTCTGGGAGGGCTGACAAAGTGGAGGGCCTATTGAGTGAACTCCAAACAAATGATCCAAGGTTCTTTATTGTTACTGAATGGCCATGGCCCTAATGCAATGAGGTTTGCCCTTTAAATAAATACCCTGACATGGTTAGTGTCTTTAAAGTCCCATAAAATATCTGAGGGCTGAGAGCATGGAACCAGACATCTTGGGTTACCTTCCCCTTGTGTACAACCACGGGGATGTTTTTATCCTCTTCACATAAAGTGGCTGTGATTTACTCCAGTGGCTAGATCATAGTAGGTGTTCAGTAAAATTGTTTTTGTTTTCTTCCTTTCAGTTCTGGGAATTGAACCCAGGGGCACTCAAAACTGAGTTACATCTCCCTTATTTTTTATTTTTGAGACAGGTATTTCTTAGTTACTTAGGGTCTTGCTAAGTTGCTGAGGCTGGCCTCAAATTTACAGTCCTCCTGCTTCAGCCTCCCAAGTCACTGGAATTTCAGGCATGTGTCACCACACCTGGCAAAAATATTTTTTTATTGTTTTTATTTTTGTAGTGCTGGGGATTGAACCCTGGACCTTGCACATGCCAGGCAAGCATTTTACCACTGAGTCATATCTCTAGCACTGTTTTCATTTCTTAATTATCTCATTATTATTATACCTTATTAAGTTATTGGAAAAATGAGAATCTGATAGAAGGAAGGAACCAGAATAGTAAAAAGTGAAATGGAAGAAGGCCTAACACCTCCTCTTCAAGGAGCTTGCCTTGAAATGCCTCAAATACTGGAGACTGGCTTTGACCCAGTGGAACACCTGTGCTCTGATAGGGTCTGATTTTCCTTCTAGGAAAGTCAGTTATCCACACTCCAGATAGAAGTGATTCTTTTGACTGTTAAGCCTGAACCCCACTCTTTGTTCTGGGATAGCTTCTGCAGCATTTAGAAATATTTTAAAATAATACACGGGAAACTGACCTGAAAGAATACTTGGGGGAGACAACCCTCTTGATGAATTTAACAGGACAGTTTAATCCTCAAACCGGAAGTTAACAGAATGACAACAGGACATACACTGGCCCCGATTTAGAGAAGTTAGTGGAAACTCCACTTTCCCAGGCCTCATCCACTCAAAGCCAGCTTGACAGTTTCTCTTCCGACCTGACTCCACCCCTAACTGTCATGCTCCTTCCCTTTCTGTCTGTGAACTCAGCTTACCCTCCTAACCCTGAGAACATCCCACCCCTCAAGGCTAGGATGCTGATGGCCCCCAGAAGGACCTGAAGACTAGTCTTCAGGATGAAGAAGGAATCCCGAGGACATTTCAAAGATTTCATGATGATGATTACAGTATGAATCTGTCCTAGGGGTACATGAGTGGAAGGGAAGGTGGGGGCACCCACCAGGACACTGGCTTAGAGGTTCCTGACCTGAAGCCAGGAGTGACTTTCCTCATCTACTGCCACCCACCTCAGAATCATCCACAAAATCGCCTCTGTATGTGCATTTGATGGGAAGAGCAATCAGGGCTTTCACCAACCACTGAAACGAGCTCAGCAATTCAGTCAAGTTGAAGAAAGAAGCTCGGAGCTAGAAACACTGGCACCAACCCCCCATGCCCCCTCCGTATTTACGAACTGTCAATCCGCCACCACTGTCCCTCACTGTCTCCCACCCACCCTGACCCAGGCCCAGACAAAACAGGTTCCCATACCAGCCCTCAGGACACATCCTGAATAACCAATGACTTAAAAAAAAAATCTTTAATGGAATCTGTGCTCAAATAATATGTTACAACAAAAATATACAGAATGTACACAATACAAAAATATTTAGAAACCAACATTGCAGTTTGTGTTTTGTTTTGTTTTTCCTCCCACTTACTCAAGTCCTGGGGCGGTGGGGGTGGGGGGGCAGTTCACTGTTGGGCGCTGTTTTTAAGGCAGAGGAGAATCGGCCAGTGCTTTGCAGCCAACTTGGGAGCAACACCCATGATGTGGGAGAGGGATTCCCCGCATCGCATCTGCACTCTGTGGAGGAAGGTCCTGGTGTGCTGAGCAGTGGTCCCCCTAATGCTCTGGGCATTAATGGTTCTCATGGAAATTGAGAGTCCCATTAGCTGCCAAAAGAGCCTCATTAGGGAGTTTTTCCTAATTAAAAAAAACGAATGATGAATGGTGTCATTAAAGTGAAATCTCTCCTTTGAAGGCCTGTTTTCCCTTCCCCAGTTTGAGATTCCTCTCCAGTTTAAGGAGCCAGGAGCCTGTGGCCGCTGTCTGGGGATTCCCCAGCTCTCAATTTCCGTGCTCCAGGACAGACAGGCGGACCTACCTCCAGCAGCCTGAAGATGTACCTGTCCTCTACTGTCCAGCGTCCTGGCTGGTAGCCATACCGGACAAAGGGAAGAGGCCCGAGGCCAGTTGGGCAAGCGCTGCTGAGGGTTGGAGAGGGCACAGGAGCACGGGCCCCTCCTGAGGAGAAGGTCAGAGCCCCAGAAATAAACCTGTCTGGGTCTTGTGAAGTGACTCCACTGTCCCTGATCTGTGGCCCTGCTTGGGAGTGGGGGTTGGGAGAAGACGGTGGCAGGGAACAGCTGGTGCTGGTGGCCTGAGCTCTGGATGAGACTCCCTTCCAGAGCTCCAGGCCCTGAGGGTGGACTTAACAGGGTGAGAGGAGGGAGGGAGGAGACTGCCCTTTCCAGAAACTGAGCTCTTATCTGAAGCTCTGAAGGAGCTGGGAGCTTCTGAGGGCTCACTAGAGTCTAGTTCCCTGCATCTAAGACAAGATGGAGCTCTGCTGGCTCCACCCTCATCCCAGCAGCCCCAAGTGCCAGGACAGGTGCCTCCCAGCAGGGCCCAGCTGCCTCTTCCCTCCAGAGGAACAGAAGCATTCAAGCTTAGCTGCTGCTATAGCCCATGGCAGAGGCATGGGTCCCGGCCCCTCTTGATCCTTACTCAAGTCTTGGCCCAGGCTCCACAGCCTTAGCACCCTCTCCTAAGCAGCAGACCCTTCCACCCACATCGTCCCAGGGCAGCGAATGGCAGGCAGGACACAGAATAGATGTTCCAGGCTGATGTGACTCAGCCCACATGGCCTCAGGTTGACTGGCAGTCCTTGGCAGCATTGGCACTAGTGTGACCTTGAGGCCATACGTGGGGGACCAGGACAATGTAGTTAGTGCTGAGCAAAAATGGGGATGGGCCTGGCATAGACCATGAGTGGGTGTGTCTTGGGGTAGAAAGACTTTCCGGTTTCCATACGGTCACTAGCTCAGGAAGCGACAGTGGCTAGGGACCCCCTGGACCTCACTGCACACAGGCTCTGCTGGGTACAAGGCTGATGGAAGGCAGCCCCATGCTCCTGCCCTTGACCCTGCAGCCCCTCTGCCTCCAGGCCTGGGGTTCTTTGTCCTTCCAGGAGATTTAGACTTCCAAAAGCAGTATAAAGGGAAAGACAGATTTTGTGAAAGGTCACCCACCTGACACCCTGGGCTCAGGGCTGCAGTGGCTCCTCCAGCGCAGGTCTGAATGCTGCCCTCCCTTCCTGGAGGGGAGAGGCAGCTGGCGCCCTGCTGGGAGGCGGGGCTTCTGCCCTCACCTGTCCTGGCATCTGGGGCTGCCAGATGGTGGGGGGTGGGGTGAAGTCATTCCCCCAGCCTCATTTCCTATTTGTGAAGCAGGGGTGAGGGGTCTCCATAGTCCTTGGTTCCTCCCCAGCTCTCAGCAGCTGCACCCCCAGGCTGCTCTCGCCCTGGACACTCATCCAAGCCATGTTCCACCTAAACTAGAACGTCCTTCACTGCAGCCACCTGTCCCCCTAACTCAAATGGACACATAGCCTCAATAGTCCTGCCCGAGCCTTTCTTGCACCCCAAAAGATTCTCTTCTCAGGGAGACAGAACAAGACAGGACATTTTCGGATCTGAAAGCCATGCCAGAGGTAGAAAGGAGCAGTACTTGGATGCATTTCTTCTTAGCAATCCAAGGGCTGAGAGGGCCCAAGATCGCCCTAGAGCACAGATAATTTTCCTGCAGGTCAATGATGCTCAGGGAATGTCTGGAAGGGACAGAAGATGGGAAACAAGGGAGGCAGGCTTTTCTAAAAACAAGGACACCCAGTAACCACACCACGGCACACCAGGGCTCCCTGTACCTCCTCTGAGACTCCCCACATGCCCACCACCTCACGTGACTTCCTCTCCAGGTACCAGCTTGCCCCACATCATCTTTCCCTACACACACGGTCACTCACACACACCTGGACACTGTTCTCCATACCAAAAGGACAGGCACAAAGTAGGGTCAGGGCAGTAGAAGGGAAAGAATAGACCCTAAAGTCAAGGCAGGTGCAGCTGCTGGGCCGCTGGTGTGTGAAGTCAGCATCCAGGATGAAAGGGAGGGAGAGGCTGAAAGTTGGTCCTGGGGCTTCCCCAGGGGGAACTTGGGCTGAGGTTTATTCCCCCAGCTTGGGGCTTTCTCACTATCCCCCAGAGCTAGAGTGGGATCTGGAGATTACAGATCTCCCTGCCTTGTCCAGCACAGGCCCTAGAGGTCATGCCCCAGTAACCACTGGCTGGCCCAGGAGGGTACCCCCCCCGCCCCCCAGGATCTCCCAGGTTAAAGCCAGCACATCCACCACTGGGCCCTCTTTCCACCCCAGAACTCCAGACCTGGACTCCAGAGGGAACACTGTGCTGGGTGTGGTGGCACATGCCTGTAATCTCAGCAAATTGGGAGGCTGGGGCAGGAGGATTGTAAATCCAAGGCCAGCCTCAACAACTTTTGAGGCCCTAAGTAACTTAGCGAGACCCTGCCTCAAAATAAAAAAATAAAAAGGGCTGGGGAAGTGGCTCAGTGGTAAAGTGCCCCTGGGTTCAATCCCCAGTACAAAAAAAAAAAAAAAAAAAGTAAACAGAGGAAACACTACCTGGCCACAGAGACCCTCAGACCTTCCCTATGTCTCTCAGGGTCTCTCGGGGTGGAGGATGAGGGACAAAGCTGTTGCCCCCTCCTGTGGACAGGAAAGGACAGCACATGGAACCGGCAGCTTCTCTCACCCTACCCCAGGCCTTTACCGGGGGCCTGATGTCACCAGAACAGGCTAGAAAAATGACAGCAGCCATATCCAACTCCTCCTCCAGTGCCTTTCAACAAGAGGCCCCACCGAGTGCCCTATGGAAACACAAACATGGCAGTAGCAGCGGAGTCCTTGCCTTTCCTCTCTGGCTTCACTGAGCTGGTGATGAGAAAAAGATCCAGGCGCTCCCTCTGGATGCTGCTTCTCCCTCCCCTCCCCACCTCCTCTGTCCTCAGCCCCTTACGGGGGCGGTGGCAGCTTCAAGTCCAGCAGAGAATAGGCAAAGATGTTCCAGAAGACGGCGAACAGCACGAAGACGGTGTACATGGCCACAAAAATCCACCACAGCGACTGGTCCTGCAGCCTCTGCTCATAGTTCCTCAGCACCACCACGCCCAGGGTGATGCCCACGGCCACACCACCCAGGTGTGCCACGAAGCTCGGGTGAGGGCAGGGCGGGTAGGCCGACGGGTGGAACCGGAGCCACACGGCGCGCCCAAACTCCAGACTCACTGCAGGAGGAGGAAGCAGAGAAGTTACAGGAGGGCCCCCCGGGCAGGGGCTGCAGGGACAGAGGCCTCGCACCCCAGCCCACCACCCTGTGGTTAATGCATTCACTGCCATGAGGCCGAGTACCATCTATTACTGGGGACACGAGAATCAAGGAGACAGACAAAACCGTTCTCCCAGAGCTCACGGGGCCTGGCGATAAGCCAGCCAACAATTACACACATAAGACAATTTCATTAAGAGATTCATCTATGGGGAAAAAGTAGGTGACGTAAAGTCAATGCCGGGCATAAGGAGGGGACTCTTCAGGGAGTCTGGTAGGTCCCTTCGGAGGCAATCTTTGATCTGTGATCTGAATATTCAGAAGGGTCTTGCCCCTAGAGCCTGAGGAGAGTGTTCCCGGGAGAGGGCAGGGGCTGACTGCAAACCCAAAGGCCCTGGCAAAGCTGAGGTCGCACCAAGTCCTGGGGCCCGGATCCCCGTTTGTCCATCTGTAGGAAGTCTCAGCCTCGGTGCGCCAGGCTGCACTGGTGGAGCCTGTTGGCAACTTCAATATGTGYCCAGCACATGCTGTGTTCTCATGCATTATCTCAAAACCCTCAGAAAACACTCAGAACCACTGCTTTTGTGGTTAGAAGGAAGGGATGGAGAGGGACAAGGACAAAGAGGGAATGCAAGTAAGCAATCCTCACTCCACCCTCACCCCAGAGAATTTCTGGACTTTCTCCCTAAAACAATTCTAAGATGCCACCATCTGCTCTCCAATCCTTCCTTCTTTTGTGAATTTTTTGGGTGGGCCAAATAGGGATGTCTTGAAGGGACAAGTATGAGGCAACCTCATTTCCCAACACCAAAGGAGCACAGAGATTCCTCATCCCCACTTAACAGAGGAGGAAACTAAGGCAAACCTACAGACCGAAAGAAAGCCCTTTGAGGGAAAGGTTTGCAGCTGTTCCATTACCATTTAGTGAACCAGTGGGCCTCTCTCTACTCCAACCATTCTGGAGTACCAGAACTGCCAGGGACCTGCATTCCCCTGGGGACTGCCCCACCTTCTGCACTGGCCCTGCAACTCCCAAGGTGGCCAATAGGTGGTGGGAAAAGAGCAGCTGGGGACTGAGGCTCAGCTCCCCCCACTCCACGCAGCCCCCAGGGAAGCCTTTCTGCCTCTGCTGAGCAGGTCCTGGGTTCAATACAAGAGGATCAAAACCCATGGTTCCCAACTCCAAGACAGCATTTTAGTTTTTATGATGCTTAGGGTTGGGTGTTTGTGAACGGCAAGACTCACGCTTCTCTTTCCTTCTTTGAAAGCAAGCGAAGGGCAGAGTCTGGGCAGACACAGTGGCGGAGTTCACCCATGCTCCCGCCCCTGGTCCCCTGCTCAGCATCAAGGGTTTTAAGGCTGAAAAGTTCTCTCTGGGATTAGAAATCCTCTAGTCTCATCCAGGAAACAGACCCAGAGGGCCCCTCTGTGAGTCAGGGACAGAGGTGATTTCCTGAGAGCCATGGGGCCAGAGGCAAAGAATGTGGATGTACGTTAGAGGGGAGCCCTCACAGGCCTGGCCCTGCAGCTGTGCTGGTTCCTGCTCAGTCTCCCACCCACACAGCAGGGAGCTGCCCCAGGCTGAGAAAGCCAGGCGCTCACCGCTCAGCTTGGCTAAAGCATGGGCATTTGAAACGGCACAGGTTGGCTCTGAATTCTGGATTCATCACCTCTTTGCTGGGCAACCCTGAGCCAGAAGCTTAACTCTCTGGGCTTTAAGTTCCTACTTGTGACTTGACTTAATGATATGCTCTCTGTAGGCATCTTCTGAGGATGAAAGGAGAGAGAGTGTGTCTCCCTTCTCTCTTCCAGGACTTCCACTGCTTCTGTTCAGGCTCAGGACAAGCCCCTTACCTCTGGTCTCATCCCCCTCACGCTACCCACCCTCCACATGGCATCCCGACTGGTTTTCTAAACCTCAAATCTATTTCTCCCTCTTACGGAGTCCTCCAGTGACCTCCCCGTACACTGGGGAGGAAGCACATTTTTTTTTTCCTCTTGCCTTTAAAAACATTCCAATCTGACTTCCAGGATCTCACTAGCTTTATCTCCTGTCACAGCCACACACAGTCCCAAGCCTCCTTAGTGAGTTTTGACAGTCAGTGTGCCAGCCAATGACCTTCACATCCACCTGTGCTTCGGTTCAGGGTGCACCTTTGCCCAACATGCCTCTGGCACCTCATCTCCCTGCTGTATACCTGCTTGTCTTTAATACTCACATGACCTCTGTAGGTAGAACCGACCTCTCCTGACCACAGCCCCCCAGCGCATCCTGCTTATAGGGGCTCCCGGAGTAGTTAGAGTTTATGAAACTGATAAAAATGCAAGTTTTAATGTGCATGTGTGTATGCACATATATGCACATGTAATCTGAGGAAGGGGTCTCTGACTTCCAACTGGGGATCTCAAACAACTCCATGATGCAAAAGGTCAAGAAGTTATTTCTCTTGATCTGGGTTCTGGTCACTGAGAACTTTTCTGTTTGCATATTTTATGTCCATAAAAAAAGATGAGAAAAGGCAACGAAGCAGTGCAGAGGGACAGACCTCCTCACACACACACCCTTGTTGGTCAGTACTAATGTGTCTCACTTTTTTTTCTTGATCACAAGCCTTTGCCCCTGAAAGGCAAGGACTGTGACATCTCCGTATCCCTAGGACCCAATGCCTGGTGTTCTCCCCAGCCTGCCCCATCAGTACTTACTACAGACCAAGGCCACAGCCATGCGCAGCAGCTTGAACTGGCACTTCATGCCTGACCAGTTCTAGAGAAAAAGGAGAGAGATTTATTAGTTGAAGATCAGGCCGCTCCTCTGCAGGTAGGGATGAAAAGCAGACATTTAAAGAAATCACCTCCATGAACTCGTGAGAGAGTTGGGCCTTCGTAGCAGAATACACCAGCAGGACTTTTGAGATTTTAGACGAAGGTAAGTTTATCCCTGTCATAAAAACTCTTTTTTTTAAAAAAACACTTTTTTAGTTGTTGATAGATCTTTTATTTTTTTAATATGTGGTGCTGAGAATCAAACCCAGTGCCTCACACATGCCAGGCAAGTGCACTACTGCTGAGCCCCAGCCCCTGTCATAAAAACTCTTGAGGTCCACTAACGGAAGTAGAGAATCTACATCTCAGGCGACCAGAGCCCGTGTCCTCCTCCTCAGATAGCACGGTGAGATAGCACCTGAGAGAGTACTGTGTCTGCAGCTGACAAGGGACATGATGGGACACGACGTGGAGTAGCACATCAAGCAAATCAAAGCAGAACCATCATCATCAAGATGATAAAAGAACTCAAAATCGGGCCTGTGAGGAACAAATGAGAAAACCGGGATCTTTCAGCTTAAAGACTCAGGGGTCGAGTTCACCCTTATCAAGCATCAAGTGAGTCAACATGAGGAAAGGATTCAGCACAAACTGCAAATAGGGGACTCCATAGATAAAAACTTCCCAGAGGCCAGAGTGGCACCCTTAATCCCAGCAGCTTGGGAGGCTGAGGTAGGAGGATCATGAGTTCAAAGTCAGCCTCAGCAATTCAATGAGGCCCTAAGCAACTCAGCAAGATCCTGTCTCTAGTCAAATATAAAAAAAAAAAAAAGGACTGGGGATGTGGCTCAGTGGTTAAGCACCCTGCGTTCAATCCTTAGTACCAAAACAAACAAACAAACCAAACCAAAAAACCAACTTCCCAGAGATGCATCTTCTAGTGTAAGGTCAGTTTCACTTCTGATAAGCAGAACTGTCCAAAGACGGAATGATCCAGCGCGGGGTTCGGGTAGTGAGTTTCCCAACACTGAAGGTTCCAAACAGGGACTTCCATCGTTCAGACAGAGCTGCTCCAGAGGAGAATCAGGCATTGGGAAGGGGGTGGGCCAGATGGCCTCCAAACAAGTCTCTCTTTCCCCTGAGAAAACTCTGAACCACCAAGGCAGATCAGCAGTACAATTATCCACCTTACAAAAGGATTTTTCACTTTACAAAAGACTTCACCACAGGGTTCCTTTAAGGGGCACTCCTGCAGCGCAAAGCCTTATTCCATTTCTACAGATGTGAGCACACAGCCCAGAACCAGCCTGTGAGCTTCCTGGAACACAGCGGCCCAGGGAAGGAGGCAACTGGGCATGGCCAGGGGGACTTCTGTTCTCTCCCACCCACCCCATCTGTCCTGGCTGGCTGCCCCAGGGTCCCCTCCAGGGCACATCTCACACTCCTTGGAGGTTACAAGAACATCCCTTAGTTCAAATTCACAGAGACCCTGAACCCTGGCAGGGACAATGCCATCTATGACAGCGCCAGCAGAGCCAGCAGGACGTGGGGGAAGCTGCCAAGAACGGGGAGAAATCCTTGTCCCCTCCTCCCTGTTCCCCGTTGTTCTTCACTGACCCACAAGCCCTGCCTTCACAAAAGATGGGCTGGGCCACATGTGGCCCCTCTCTAGGTGGAAAGTCTCAATTTGCTTGCAGACACGTTCCATGCTAAGAAGCAGATGGCAGGATAACACTGTCCCCTGCTGGTCTCTGCCCACAGAGGGACCTTGCCAAGAGACGGAACAAAACAGGAGTCAGTGCCCCCGCTGCAGTGAGCAGCAAGCTGGGCCGGCTCAACTGGCTGGAGGTGGGGGGCCACCAGCTCCCCTCCAGGCAGAAGCAGCCAGCCTGCTCTTCCCAAAGGGGACATCTGCAGTCAAGTAGCCAACAAGAAGGCTCTCGGCCCTGTGAAGGGAAGCTGGCCACTTCCTGAGGCAGCCCTGGAAAGGGCTCTTATCACTGAAAAGTTCCTCCTCCTGTTGTTCTCTAGGCTCTGCCTCCCTGCTAGGCCACCTATGCATCTGTTTGTTTGTTTTGTTTTGTTTTTGTTTTTATTTTGAGAAAGGGTCTCACTCTGTTGCCTGGGCTGGCCTCAAGGATTCACCTGCCTTTGACTCTTTTGTAGCTGAAACTACAGGATGTGCACCACGGTGCCCAGTTATCCATGGGTTTTTATTCTTCATTAAAAGTGAGACCCAGCCGGGCGAAGTGGTGCACACCTGTAATCCCAGCGGCTCGGGAGTCTGAGGCAGGAGGATCATGAATTCAATGCCAGCCTCAATAACTTAGTGAGGCCCTCAGCAACTTAGGAAGACCCTGTCTCAAAATACAAAATAAAAAGGATTGGGGATGTGGCTCAGTGGTTAAGTGGCCCTGGTTCAATCTCTGGTACCAATAATAATAATAATAATAATAATAAGTAAGACCCATGTTCATAGCAGCAGTATTCACAACAGCCAAAAGGTGGAAGCCACCCAAGTGTCTATCGATAGGTGATTGGATAAACAAAATATGTAGACACACATGCAAATGTGGCATATTGCTCAATCGTAAAAAAGGAATTCTGACACATGCTACAACGTGGATGGACCCTGATGCTATGCAGAGTGAAATAAGCCAGTCACACACAAAAAAAGTCAAACACTGCAGTGATTTCACTTGTGTGAAATGCCTAGAGTGGTCAAATTTGTGGAGACAGGATGCAGAATGGTGGTTGTCAGGGGCTGGAGGAAGAGGATATGAGGAGGGAAGTGTTTAATGGGTACAGAGTTTCAGCTTGGGAAGATGAGGAAGCCCTGGACACAGGATGGTGGTGGCGGCTACATGACAATGTGAACGTCCTCAATGCCAGTGAGCGGCAACTTGAAGTGTCTAGCTCGTAACAGGCGTATTCATTCACCACAGTACAAACAGAAGCCACACGGAACACTTCTGAGGTCCCTGTTCCTCATCAAAGTCTCTGAGTATCTTCTCTGAACACAGTGTGGCCTCTCTGGGCCTGAGGTTGGATTAGTCTTAAAAAACACTATCCAAAACCCATCCAAAACCCAGCCTCAGCAACAGCAAGGCACTAAGCAACTCAGTGAGACCCTGTTTCTAAATACATACAAAATAGGGCTGGGGAAGTAGCTCAGTGGTCGAGTGCCCCTGGGTTCAATCTCTCATACAAAAAAAAAAAAAAAAAAAGCACCATCCATATTCCTAGTCTGGTGTAGTCACTGATGGGGTCCCTCAGAATTCCTTATTCTCTAGTGCCCTCATTTGTGAATTTCAGATAACAACAGCGCTCATGTCAATTACCTAGCTCATCAGGTGATTATAAGGATGAAATAAATGAATATGTGCAAAGCACTAACATCTGGCCACATAGTGGGTGTCCTATAAATGTCTGATATTAGTATTTAGATCTGATGCAAAGACAATGAGTTTTCCTGCAGAGTGGCTGTAAAGATTCATAATCCAAATGACCTTGGACAGAGGGAGGGCGGAGGCTCCTGTTTGACCAGAGCATTCCCAAGCTAGCTTCCTGAGTTGACTATACCTGCCTGGCCCCCAGCCAGAGGTACTGGAGTCTGCCAACCCTCTGCCCAGCACTTTAGAGAAGAAGAACCTGAGGACCCAGGAGGGCTAGTTCAAGGTCATACTGAGTTCGCGGTGAGCTGCTAGGGTTCTGGGTGTAGGACTGCATCCGCCAGACAGGGTCACAGTCCATCTGCCTGTTCTGTCTGAGCCAGCTGTCCCCAGAGCTGAGTGAATGACAGTAAATGACCCGTCTCCTAGCAGCTGAGGGGTTAAATTAGAAAGTCAACCCTTCCCACCGGCTGCCTTATTCTCCCGACCCATTATTCCCTCCAATAAAATGAGTGCAGTGAAACACCAGGAGAGAAGAAAAAAATCTCTCCCACAGCCTGCGCTGCTGCTGCTATAAATGTGGAAAAGCCCGTGGCCCCTGGGGAACACAAACCCTTTGCAGGCCCTTTAATTTCATTCTTCCCCGAGCCTCACAGGGTGAGATAGGAACTCAGCCACAGCAAACAAGTCAGTAAACCAGTTGCCTTGACATCCTGCTCAGCCAGCCAGTTGAGGGCTCAGAGGCAGGGCTGCCTGAGTAGCTCTGGGGTCCAGCCTTGCCAACGTGTGTGAGGCCCTGGGTTCCATCCCCAGCACCACACACACACAAAAAAAAAATATATATATATATATATTTTTTTTTTCTTTTTTTTTAAATAAAAGAGCACAGAGATGGAAATCCAGTCAGGGAGCTTCCATTCAAATCAGCTTTATGTATCCTTGGTAGAAAGTTTCTTATCAAATGACTTAAAGAAATCCCCTGGGCCTGGGGTTGTGGCTCAGAGGTAAGGCCTTGTTGGCCTAGCATGTGTGAGGCACTGAGTTGGGTTCTCAGCACTGTATAAAAATAAATAAAATAAAGGGTTAGGGTTGTCACCATCTACAACTAAAAAAAAAAAAGAAGAAATCCCAACACAGGAAACATGTAAGCATGTGACAGATAAAACTGGGAGTGATCATCAGCTCTACAAAAGGGTGTTTACATTTAAACATAAACCTTAGAGCCAAAATCTTCTGTGTCTTCCAGATAAATATTTCTCCTTGTGCTTCCACCACATGGAACAATGTGCATAAATCCAGATCTCAACTGTGTTAGGAAAGCATCTAACATACAGAGCAAAGGGCAAGTAAATATCTTGTATATTTAAAAATGTATCTCTGGCCTATGGGCCCCAGCAGGAGGCAATTAATAAATTATTCAGTTAGGCAGATCTTTATATTTCTAATGTTTAGCAGTCTTAATAGCAGGTGATTTTGCAACCCAGATCTTTTGTTGAAATATTTTCTGAATTTAATTCCTTGATGTAAACTGCAAGGTTTTTGAAACTCAATGTGTTTTTAGGGAAAATAAAACGTGATTTCATTTAAGGCAGATTCTCTTATTTAAACAGTCCTGAGAACAGAAGTGCTAGACACTTTTCTAAGATGTATCTGAAGCCAAAAGAATAATTTTCGGATTGTTCTTTATATAAATAGCTGGCAGAATTAATAAAGAGAAATCATACACACACACACACACACACACACACAGGATCTCATAGCCGCTGGGGATCTAGGGATTGAACCCAAGACCTTGTGCTTGCTAGACAAGTACTCTACCTTTGAGCTTCATCCCCAGTCCTTTTTGATTTTAAGACAGTCTCTCTCTAAATTGCTGAGGCTAGCCTCAAACTTGTGATCCTTCTCCCTCAGCCTTCCGAGTAGATGGGATTACAGGTGGGTGGCACTGCACCCAGCTCTTTTCTTTCTTTCTTTCTTTCTTTCTTTTTTTTTTTTTTTTTTTTTTGTAGCATTAGGGATCAAACCCAGGGCCTTGCACATGCTAGGCAAGCACTCTATCACAGAACTACATGCCCGGCTCTGAAACCAGATTTTCTGTCAAATCCATATCTTTTTGTCTTCTGTTGTGATGAGGGACTTTATTGTGCCCAGGCACAGATATTCCAAATTTTCATTTCAGAATTAAAAGCAAGAGTTATATTTATTAAGTTGAACCATATGAAATTGCCAATGTTCAAAAGCTCTGGGGCCACAGAAATGGCAATTTCAAATGGGTTGACCCAATGCACCTCTGAATTGCCCCATTACTGAGCTAATTTGGGCAAAGAATGTCCCTTGACTAAGGGGAAAGTGACGTTTCTAGTGAGTAAATTAGTTTTTTCACCCTGGACAAGCATCACATGACTTTCTAGAGGAGGCTCCCCACATGCCAGACTCCAGGGCCTGCAAAGCTCCCAGGTGGCTGGGAAAGCTGCTTCCTTCTGGGAAGACACTGGGTTCTCAGATGGGACTGCCCATCTCCACAGCCACCAGCCGTGGGCTACTTGCCAGAAAGAAGCATAAACTGGAACAAAAATACTTTCACACCTCCCTGGACCCCTTGGCCTTGCCCTGTGGTGCAGGGGTGAGCAGTGCTCACCATGGGAACTGCTGAGGCACCAGGGCTGTTTCCCATGAGGCTTTCCAACTCCTCTTTGCTCCTTCTTCCCCATGTTCTCCAGTCCTGCCTGTTCAGCCCCCATGCGCAGCTACAGTTGGGGGGAGTGGGAGGGAGGAGGTCAGTCTTCCCCCACGGAGAGGAATTGGGGCAGGGGGCGGGGGGAGTGGAGGAGGCTGAATTCAGAGGAAGAGCTGTGTCTGGGGAAAGATGTGGCACTGATACAGAATGACCCATTTAAAAGGGCCATGTGAGGCAGCTCTGTGCTCTGGGGCTTTCTGCAGACTGAGCTGTGTGTGAACACACGTGCACCAACACACACTCACTCTCCAGGCTCTCCCGTTCACGCATGCTTCCCACACCCAGGGCCTCTCTCTGAGCACTCAGAGCACTCACGGGAAGTGGAAGTTGCCAGAATCCAGGCCAAGAGCAAGAGCAGTCGGGCTCCCTCCCTCTCCCTCTGCCTCCCCCCACCCTCTCCACTTAAAAAGGAGACATTGGTGGGAAAAGAAGGGGTGGTGTTGCTAGTGGGGAAGGTAAGAACAGGACAAATCCAGAAGAAAACGTGAATTTAAGACTGCCCCAAACTGCTGTAACTGAGTGGTCACATGATTGTCACACAGGGAGATGGTGATGAAGGACAAGGGGGGTGCCCGAGGGACCCAGAGGGAGGCTAAGCCTTTTCTGCACACTGTTCCTTCCTTCACCAAAAATTCAGCAGGTGCCATCTAAAGCATGAGCCCAGCCCTGTGCCAGGTACAGGGGGCGGGAATAGATGCATAAGGCCTGCAGGTGCCGGGGCAGGGCAGCCAAGCATGGCCAGGGAGTCTCTCTTCCACCTCCAAACTCAGATGTCCTTCACACAGGAGGGTTTGGACAACCTCTATCAGGCTCTTCCCAATTCTTGCCCTGCAGGTTGAATCTAGTCTGAACCCACCCTGGCCTCTTCCAGGAGGAGTAGAGACATTAGGTTACCATTTATTTTCAGTGATTATTCTGTGTGTGTGTGTGTGTGTGTGTGTGTGTGTGTGTGTGTGTGTATGTGGTGCTGGGGATTGAACCCAGGGTTTTGTGCATGCAAGGCAAGCACTCTGCCAACTGAGCTGTATCCCAGCCTGATTATTCTTATTTTACCTCATTTATTCTTACTTTACCTCATTTATTACGTATCATTTCATTCCATGGACAGAAATCGAAGCCCAAAGAGATTGTTGTCCAAGGTCACCCTCTAGGAAGTGGGTCGCTGGGAGTCAGATGCAGGCTGTCTGGCTCCAGAGCCCCTTCTCTTACCCATCACATGGCACTGCCCTTCAGGAAGAGGCAGAGGAGAGTGGGAAACTGGAGGGTGCTCCACCTCATGAAGGGCTAGCACAGGGGAACAACACTTGATTGGCTGTCAGGAGATGTGGCTTCAAGTCTTGGWTTTTGCAACCAATTTGGTTATGACTTTGGACAAATCACTTAACCTCTCAGAACCTCTTTTCCTATTTGATACTTTTGGTGAAATAATCTCTAAGGCCCTTTGACTTTTTAACGAACATTTGACAAACAAGGCATTCCAAAGATCGTACACAGCAGTGGCGAAATTTCAACACTTATTTCTAAGTCACTGAATGGGAAAGAGTTGGGTACATTCATAGGCCAAGGCAAAGCTAAGGAGAAAATATAAATTGGTATGGGAGGGACTCCACTGAGATGAGCCTGTGGAGGGGGAAGGGTGTTTGCGAACCCTGCTCCCATCCAGCTGGCACTTGACAGGTTTGGGCTGGGCCAGCTCCAGTGGATTAATGGCCAGGTCCAGTGGTAGCAGAGGAGAGGAAGGGAGACATGTGGGAACAGCAGGGTCTCACCATGACGATGTTTGCCAGATGGGCAGAGACGAGAGCATACACCCCTCCGGAAGAGCCCACTACCGGTGCGGTCATGTCAGCCACAGACACAGCCAAGGACCCTGGTTCAGAAAAAGAGAAGGAGTTCATAAGAATGCTGGACTCGGTTGCCCACCCCAGCCCTGGCCCTCCGAGTCAGCTGCCTGGGCAGGAAGACCCTATAGCAAGAGGCTCTATCTCCTCTTCCTTTAATACTAGGTTGCCCTGGAGCTTCCTATAGATTTCCCAGAGGATTGGTGTATGGCCGAAAAGACCACTTGGTTCAGCCTATTCATTTTACAGATAGAAAACCAAGACTCCAAGAAGGGAAGTGACCTGCCCAAGATGGAACTTGGGTTATGACCCGTATCACCTGCCTCTCATCCTAGCCTCTGCCTAACACTGAGGTGGCACTGGGGTTGGAAACAGCAGTAAAACCCATAACAGCAGTTATCATGGAAACAGCTGCCCYGCAGTGAACACTGGGTCACACCCTGAAGATCACCCTTTGATGCAGGTGCTAATGGTCTCGATTTGAGGAAAGGCTCTGAGCCCAGAGACCCCTGGTGGGAAGTGCTGGACCCAGGATTTGAGCCAGGTCTGCCTGATACAAAACCCCAAAACCCATATTCCTCTTTCTTTCTTTCCTTCTTTTTGCAGTGTTGGGGATCAAACCCAGGGCTTCATGTCCATTAATCAAGTACTCCACCATCGGCCTACAGTCCTAGCCCCAAATCTGTGGTCTTGACCAAAGCCGGTGCTCTTGGCAGCCACCCTCCAACCTGGTACAAGAGGCTGTCCCTGCCTTCCTCATGGCTCCTTCTAATGAGCTGCATCTAGAAACCTGCAGAGCTTCACCACCCACCTCTCTCCAGCTGAGCTAAATCACAAAAGGCCAACAGAATCTCCCAAGTAGGGCTTCTCTGGAGGAAAAAATGTCCTTGAAAAGTCCCCCAGGAAGAAAAAGAGATGATGTCACACCCTCTGGGGGAAAGGGAGGTCTACTGTTCTCTTGGTTTAGGGGACGACAAACTTTTGTCCTGGAGGAGGGAAGCTGGGCAGAGAGGAGATGGGAAATTTATTGTTCTGGTCTCATTTAAGTGTGATCAATGCTTTGGCTTCCAGGGAAGGACACAAGAGACTAAAAATAACTAGGAGGTAGAGCCCACGRCATAGAGGATGAGCTGTGGCTGGCCTGGGTGAGTGTGCAGAAATCACCACTGGAAAATGCCCGCAGGCTCATGAGCCAATTAGCCACCGGAGAGAGGGGGGCACTGGCAGAAAGCGGGATTCTGCAGGCTCCATAGGGTGCAGGATCCCTTTGGAAGAAAACTGGGCCTAACCCAGGAACAAGGGCACCTGACCATCTGGACCTGGACACAGAGAGCTAGCTGCCTGACCTTGACATGGTCAGGTCACCTGCCTCTGCCCAGCTCTCTCAAGTCTCCTGCATTCACTGAGATCCTTCAGGGAAGGAAGGAATCCCCACTACCAATTCCTTGGTCTCAAGGGAGATGTCATTGCTGGGGGGAGTGGGAGGGGGACCAAACTGTCCAGAACTGAGGACTCCCAAGTCCTTCTCCCCTCCCAGGRCAACTATAAATCTTTCTTCCTGCCTTTCATGCCTTCCCTCCAGCTTTAATTAGGTATTGATCTATTGTCAGATAACTTTCTTTTCTTTTACTTCTTCGTTGTCTTCTTTTTTTAATGGCCTCGCTACGGGGTCAGCCATATATAACAAGAAGGAAGAAAAAAAAAAATCCCAGGGTGGCAAACAAACAGGCAGCAGGATCTGCATGACAAAGGATTCCCACACTCTCTCCTGGAGCACCGTCTGAGAAGGCTGCATTGCAGGGCTGCACAGGGCTGGCTGCCCAAGCCGCTCCTCATTAATTACCATTTGGACAGAGGAAGCCCCAGCCTCCCTGGGCTGGCTCCTTTCCTCCCGCAGGTCCTAGCAAACCTGCTCTCTCCTCCCRCCCAGCCTGGTCTACCAGGGGCCCAGAGGCAGGAGTAAGGGCAACTCCAGGCCTGGGAGGGCGCTTGCCAGGGTCAAGCCTACACAACGCTGACCTTTCCTTCACCCAACCCATGGTTTAGAGTACTGACCCCAGAGCCAGGGGTCAATTTGGGATGGTGGCAGGAATATGGGATGGTGGTGCAGCTGGCTAGCTGTATGACCCTGGATTCTCTGGGCTTTAGTTTTCACATTTATGAAATGAAGAGGTCTAAGGCTTTCCAAATTGCAAGCAGTGAAATCTCCTTTTCAAAAGAAACCTTTCCAGGGGACCCCTAACACATGGAGGGAACTGCTTAGACTGAATGGGGTGGGGTCTGGATAGAAAAGCTTGCCATTCAATGGAGGGTCCTGGAGCATTCCTTCCAGAGAGGAAATTCAATGATCCCGGGTCTGTCCCAAGATCCAGGACTAAGGCTGAGATCATGGTTCTGGAACCTTGAAGGTAACTACCTAGCCCCACCTGCCCAGACCTTCCTAAGGCTCCTACAGATCAGTCAGGGACTAGGGAGACGGGCATCAGACACAAACACAGGGATGTGTGCATATAAATAAAGTAATAAAGGCCACCAGGGGCAGGACATGAGGGCCAGGCAGGGTTCCTTCATAAGCACTGTGAACCTCATGGATGACCCATTCATAAGGCCAGTACAAATTCCAAGGAGGTTGTGGGGACAGAGAACTCGAAAGAACTGCAAACTAGAGTGACATCTATTCTCTACACCGAAGCAGACTAAGGGGCAGGTTTTACTCAGGGCCACGTGTTTTCCAAAAAAAAAAACATTCTGGGTCCATGGTGACCTCACCATAAGGCACAGGTGCAGTCATTTAGGTTGGAAAGTTTTAAGGCAGGTGTTCTCCAGCATCTCCCTTGGCCATTAAAACAATCCAAACAACAACTGGCAGAACATCTACCTTTAAGCAATGTAACTTTTTTTTTGTTTTGTTTTACATATTTTTTTTTAATTGCCAATGGAGCTTTATTTTATTTACTTATATGTGGCGCTAAGAATCGAACCCAGTGCCTCACACATGCTAGGCAAGCACTCTACCACTGAGCCACAACCCCAGTCCCTAAGCAATGTAACTGTATTCACGTATTCTTCATTTACTTTACAAATATTTATTGCCTAACAGGTGCCAGGCTCTGGGGATGCACATGTGGCTTAAAATCCATATAATCTATAATAAAAGGTTGGTGATGTATCGAAAGTACTGGTTTTCAAAGTACTTAGACTGTCAGCTCCATAATTCTTAGCCATAAACAAGTGACATATTCACATCAGATGTTGGCTAGAAGCACAGGGCTCCACCCCAGTTCTACTACTTCTAAGCTTGGCAAATAGAATAAGCCATTTAACCTCACTGACCTGCGGGTAGCGTAAGGGTGACAACACAGGACTGTTGTGAATATAGGTGATGGCATACATAAACAGTCTTTATCACATGGCTGGAGCACCATCGGTACACCTCGGAAGTCAGCCTCCATGTTACAAAACAAGAGGGCCTTGGGTTTGGAATGCTTTCATTCAGCAGGAATTAGAGACATTAGGGAGGAGGGCCAGATTCCAATTAAGGCCTCCCTTGATTTCTTTCTTTCTTTATTATTATTATTATTTTTGTATCTGGGATTGAACTCAGAGACACTCTATTACTGAGCCCCATCCTCAGCCCTATTTTATATTTTATTGAGAGACAAGGTCTCACTGAATTGCTTAGTGCCTCACTTTCGCTGAGGTTGGCTTTGAACTTGCAATCCTTCAGCTTCCTAAACTGCTGGAATTACAGGCTTGAGCTACCTTGCCGGCTCGCCCTTGATTTCTGATAATAAATTACCTGCACAAAGGACAAGGCCTACYTTCTGGTTCTCTTCATACTCTGGTAGTGTTTAAAGGGTGTAAGCCCAGCTCTACCATGTGCAGTCTGTGTCTTCTTGGGGGTCACTTATCTATGCTTCTTCTTCATTCCCCCCCACCCCTCGATGTTGGGGATTCAATCAACGGCCTTCCACATATTATTTTAAAACAATTTTTTCCCCTGTCTTTTTTGCAGTACTGGGAATCAAACCCAGGGCCTTATGCATGCTAGGCAAGTGTTCTACCACTGAGCTATATCCTCAGTCTCTAGGGACTGCCCACACATTAAACACTTTAACCACTGAACTRCACCCCTAGAGTCTAAACTGAGGTTTCTGCATCTGCACCAGGTGGAGAGTCCTGGTACCTGCCCTGTGTGGTGGGTTGTGAGGATTAATTACAGCCTCACGTGGGAGGCACTGATAACTACCGGCTATCCAGTTGAAGTCCAGCTATCTGCAAAAAGGTTCCCTCTTAGAGGAGGGGAATGGAGGCGGAAGAGGGGGACCAGCCCAGGCAGATCAATTAACTCAATCCTGGAGATCAATGACAAGCTATACATGGCGACCAGAATGCCCTTTGGTCTGGATCAATGACTCCAACAGAATACGGCGTGCCCTTGGCTGGTAGCTACAGCCCCACACCCTCACATTTACTTGATGAGCCCTGTGCTTCAGTCTGTGTAGCTTCCCACTCTGCAGTGACATCACTGGGAAGTGATTTCCGCTCTGTCTCCTACCGTGTGTCATCTGTTTTGGGTGAGGTCTGAGTCATTTTGAATCTTATTTCTGTCTTCCAGGTTATTGGCATTCCCGTCTAATTGACTRCGAACTGCAAGTGTTACGAGTGTCTTCCCTGTTCCTCTCCATTTAACATCTGGGACTCTGGGTATGGAAAAAGTGGTTATAAATCCCCAGATGTCAGGATGGGGGGTGTGGGTGGCTGAACAAATCTGGAACATAGAGGTGCTCATCGGCATTTTTTTTTTTTTTTTTTGGTACTGGGGATTGAACCCAGAGACTCCCTACCACTGAGCCACACCCCCCAGCCCTTTCTATTTTATATTTTGAGACAGGGTCTCGCTAAGTTGCYAAGGCTGTCCTTGAATTGCACCGTGGCCTTTAGGAGAGACCTGGTAGCTGCTGGATTCTGGGAAGGGCAGTAGGTGCTGTCCAAGGTGGAAGGTTCTGGCCACCCACAGGAGAGATGGAGATGGTGCGGGGAGAATCTCCTAGGACCAGCCCCATGTGTTGGGGGGGTTAGGACCCTTCCCTCTTCAATTTGTAAGACCACATCAGTCGCCACCAAGGGTCCCTGCCTGCCTGTGGTTTACAAGGCTGAAGCTGCCCCACTCTCCTGATGGCGACTTTAATGCCACTCAGAAAGGATTAAGATCTTACTTAAACATACACACAAAGCTCCCTTGGGCACAGCTGTCAAGCTGAAGAGCTGAGGCGGCAAACCTTGTTTAAAAAAAAAAAATAGAAAGCCAGCAATAAAGTTGGAAACTTTACAAGGGAGATCCCTGTGTTTAGAAGCCAGATGGGTGAAACCGGTCCTAAAAAAAATCAGCTCTGGTCTCCCCACTCTCTTGCCCCGTCCCTGCTCCCACAGGCGGAACAGGAAGAAGGCAAAGGCCTGACTCCTCCAGAGGGGAATGAGAGCCACTGCCTCAAGGGCCAGATTCTTYTGTCCGCGGTGGGTCAGTCCAGGGGTCTGTGGCTGGTAGAGGAAGAGACAAGACTTCCTTTTGGGTTCAAGTGCCTCCTACCTTGGCCAGGCAGGTGCCGCCTCTACCCACACCTCTGATGCCCTCTCAGTGATCTGGCTGCACCCTTGCAGATTATGCAGCACCCTTATTCCATTTGTTGCCTCACTCCAGCCCCCCAGGAACCCTACAGGCAGATCTCATTAGTTCCCTCTTCAAACTTAATAGGACCAAGAGAGGTTCCCACATGGCAGAGCAGAAACTAAAAGCCATCAGCCAGTTCCAAATCCTGCCCTCTCCCCTTTACCATGACACACCTCCCGATCCAGGTGGCTGTCCCCTTCCAGCCCCCCATAAATAGAAGAGTCTGCCTCCAGGACAACCCTCTGAGACAGGAGCTTTAGTGATGAGGAGCCTGTGTGCGCTCTGGAAGCCTGGGGCTGATCACACCTATCAGACCACGGCCCACCCTCCCTCAGCCCACCTGGTGAGGCTCACCCCTTGGACACGGGGCCCACATGCCTACCTGCCACGACACCGGCCACGTACACAAGCCCAATGCGGGTCGCTCCGTGCACCATCTCCAGAGGCACCCCCACCAGCAGCTGCAGCACCACGTTGAGTGCCAGGTGTTCTACCCTGTGACAGACCACATCCATTCATTCATTCATTCATTCATTCATTCGACACTGTGTGCCCAGATGCTGGGGATCCAGGAGGGAAGAACACTGTCTCTACCTTTGAGGAGCTCACGATCTGGGAGGAGGAATGACAATGCAGACAGACCATCTTGGAAAGAGTGGCCCTTCCAGTGGACAGAAGCACATGGACAAGGTGGTGACTGGCAGTATCTGCACCTGCCACCATGAGAGGGACTAACCACATCTAGCAGCTCCCATGGGTCCATGCATGAGAAGTCACAGCTCAGAGAAAGCAGTAACTGCCTTAGACGGCTAGTTAGTGGCTAGCTCTCCATTCACCAGGCCCTGTGGTCACTCTGGCTCTCTCTCGTATTTGTGTGTGTGTAGTACTGGGATTGAACACAGGGCCCCTCACATGCTTATTAAGCGCTCTGCCACTGAGCCACATCCTCAGTCCTTCTCTATTATATTTTAAAAAATTTATTTATTTGTTCTAACTTGTTATACACGAGAACTGATATTGAAAGAGAAAGACGGTCTCAAAATAAGTGCAAGTATTAAAGAGATCTCCTGTAATTTAGTAATTTAAATCTTTCCTTTGAAGTCTTATAGGGGAGCTGGGATTGGTGTCACACACCTGTAATCTCAGCTACTTGAGAAGCTAAGGCAGGAAGATCTCAAGTTCAAGGCCAGCCTTGGCAACACAGCAAGACCCTGTCTCAAAAATTAAAAAGTCGAGGGCTGGGGATGTGGCTCAAGCGGTAGCGCGCTCGCCTGGCATGC